CAGAGTGATCTTTGTAGAGTTGCCATACAGATTGATCTTTGTAGAGTACCCAAACAGATTGATCTTTGTAGAGTTGCCATACAGATTGATCTTTGTAGAGTTGTCATACAGATTGATCTTTGTAGAATTGCCATACAGATAGATCTTTGTAGAGTTGCCATACAGATTGATCTTTGTAGAGTTGCCATACAGATTGATCTTTGTAGAGTACCCAAACAGATTGATCTTTGTAGAGTTGCCATACAGATTGATCTTTGTAGAGTTGCCATACAGATTGATCTTTGTAGAGTTGCCATACAGAGCGTTCTTTCTAGAATTGCCATACAGATTTATCTTTGTAGAGTTGCCATCCAGATTGATCTTTGTAGAGTTGCCATCCAGATTGATCTTTGTAGAATTGCCATACAGAGTGATCTTTGTAGAGTTGCCATACAGATTGATCTTTGTAGAATTGCCATACAGATTGATCTTTGTAGAGTTGCCATACAGATTGATCTTTGTAGAGTTGCCATACAGATTGATCTTTGAAGAGTTGCCATACAGATTGATCTTTGTAGAGTTGCCATACAGATTGATCTTTGAAGAGTTGCCATACAGATTGAGCTTTGTAGAGTTGCCATACAGATTGAGCTTTGTAGAGTTGCCATACAGATTGAGCTTTGTAGAGTTGCCATACAGATCGATCTTTGTAGTTACCATACAGATTGATCTTTGTATAATTGCCATACAGATTGATCTTTGTAGAGTTGCCATACAGATCGATCTTTGTAGAGTTGCCATACAGATTTATCTTTGTAGAGTTGCCATACAGATCAGTCTTTGTAGAGTTGGCATACAGATTGATCTTTGTAGAGTTGCCATACAGATCGATCTTTGTAGAATTGCCATACATTGATCTTTGTAGAGTTGCCATACAGATCAGTCTTTGTAGAATTGCCATACAGATCGATCTTTGTAGAGTTGCCATACAGATCGATCTTTGTAGAATTGCCATACAGATTTATCTTTGTAGAATTGCCATACAGATTGATCTTTGTAGAATTGCCATACAGATTGATCTTTGTAGAGTTGCCATATGGATCGATCTTTGTAGAGTTGCCATTCAGATTTATCTTTGTAGAGTTGCCATACAGATTGATCTTTGTAGAGTTGCCATACAGATTGATCTTTGTAGAGTTGGCATACAGATTGATCTTTGTAGAGTTGCCATACAGATCGATCTTTGTAGAATTGCCATACAGATTGATCTTTGTAGTTGCCATACAGATCAGTCTTTGTAGAATTGCCATACAGATCGATCTTTGTAGAGTTGCCATACAGATCGATCTTTGTAGAATTGCCATACAGATTTATCTTTGTAGAGTTGCCATACAGATTGATCTTTGTAGAATTGCCATACAGAGTGATCTTTGTAGAGTTGCCATACAGATTGATCTTGGTAGAGTTGCCATACAGATCAGTCTTTGTAGAGTTGGCATACAGATTGATCTTTGTAGAGTTGCCATACAGATCAGTCTTTGTAGAGTTGGCATACAGATCGATCTTTGTAGAGTTGCCATACAGATTGATCTTTGAGTTGGCATACAGATTGATCTTTGTAGAGTTGCCATACAGATTGATCTTTGTTGAGTTGGCATACAGATTGATCTTTGTAGAGTTGCCATACAGATCAGTCTTTGTAAAGTTGGCATACAGATCGATCTTTGTAGAGTTGGCATACAGATTGATCTTTGTAGAGTTGGCATATAGGTCGATCTTTGTAGAGTTGCCATACAGATCGATATGTCACTGGTTCTCTTGTTGATGCTTAAAAATCTCCTGGAAATCTTGTATGAAAGGATATATACACCAAGAGGTGTGTATGTTTCTGTATATACAGAGAGCTGTGTCTCGGTATTATACACCAAGAGGAGTATATGTATGCACATTGAGGTGTCTCTCAGAATATATGCACAGCAGTGTGTGTCCCTTTGCCTTTGCCAACTGGGCTGTGGTTTGTAAGTCAGTTTGCATGTGGCTAGCAGTAACAGCCTGGTTGATCGGACCCTGATCCACCATGAGGCCTGGTCTTAGATCGAGCCACAGGGGCGTTGACCTCTGAAACCCTCTCCAGGTATACTCCAGGCAAAGTGTATAGTAAAGCTATTATTGAAAGAATTAAGAGTAAGATGGAGAGTAGGATAGCAGATGAACAAGAAGGCTTTAGGAAAGGTAGGGAGTGTGTAGACCAAGTGAAACATATAGGTGAACAGTATTTGGATAAGAGTCAAGAGGTTTTTGTGGCATTTATGGATTTGGAAAAGGCATATGACAGGGTGGATAGGGGGGCAATGTGGAAGATTTTGCAAATGTATGGAATAGAAGGTAGGTTACTGAAAGCAATGAAGACTTTTTATGAGGATAGTGAAGCTCAGGTTAGAGTATGTAGGAAAGAGGGAGATTATTTCCCACTAAAAGTAGGTCTTAGACAAGGATGTGTGATGTCACCATGGTTGTTCAGTATATTTATACATGGGGTTGCAAGAGAAGTGAATGCTCAGGTATTGGCAAGAGGTGTGGGGTTAGAAGATAAAGAACCTAACACAAAGTGTGAGTTGTCACAGTTGCTGTTTGCTGATGACACTGCTTTTGGGAGATTCTGAAGAGAAGTTGCAGAGGTTGGCGGATGAGTTTGATAGGGTATGTAAAAGAAGAAAATTAAAAGTGAATATAGGAAAGAGTAAGGTGATGAGGATAACAAAAAAATTAGGTGACAAATGAGTTTTGTTCTTAGTTTTCAACTTACAAATAATTTGTCTCTACAGAAAATAATAGTTGAGGGTATAAAAGATGGTAGAGTCTTAGATATGCTACTGGAGTAGGTCAATGAGAATTGACCTTTAGTAAGACCTCCTTTATACCACAGACTTTAGCACTTGTCATTAACCCTTTCAGGGTTTTTGATGTACTAGTATGTCTTATGTGCCAGTGTTGGTGACATACTAGTATGCATAAATTCTAGCGCCCTCAAATCAGTGGGAAAAGGCTGGTAGGCCTAAATGTGAAAGAATGGGTATGTGTGGTCAGTGTGTGCAGTATAAAAAAAATCCTGCAGCAAACAGTGCATAATGAGAAAATAAAAACTCCGACTGTGTTTTTGGTTTAAAACAGCAAATTTGCAGTCTATTTTTGTATAGTATTTATGGTTGTATTCTCGTTTTCTTGGTCTTATTTGATAGAGTGGAAGACACATTACAGAAATAGAGATAATTTTGATTGGTTTCACTATGACAAGTACCTTGAAATTGAGCGCAAAATAGTGAAAATGTTCGATTTTTACTGATGTTCAAGAGTAAACAAATCACACCACGCATCCAATACACATCATCTGGTGAGTCTGATTTTCTTGCACAAGTGCACTGATATTATTTATACTGTTTTTACAATTATGCAGTAGTATACATAACAGTAAGTCTTCTGTTTTTTGTGAGAATAAAAATTCAAAATGGAAAGCAAAAGTAATGTAAGATGGGCCTGGAGACATGACTAATGAACAGATAAAATGTTATTTTAGTGCCAGGAATGTCTGTCTTGTTTATTCTAGACCCTATTTTGAAATTTGACATCTTTTGAAATTTGTGTGAAATTGGCCAAATTGCCAATTTCTGACCACTTTATTGGGTAGTTGAAATCAGTAAAAGGGTGATTTCTTGTGCTCAGTCGATAGAACAAATGGAATTCTAGCGAAATAGCTATGATTTTAGTAGAAAGAAACATTGGAATTGGCCGAAAATAGGGCTCAAAGTGGGCGAAATCGCCGATGCGTCAATATCATCGATACTGCTAAATTCATGACAGCATAATTCTGTAAGTTTTCCATCAAATTTCATACTTTTGGTGTCATTATGATCGGAAAAAGATTCCCTGTCATTTCATAAGAAAAATATTCTTTTTATTTTTCAAATATTTTTCGACCATGAGTGGGAGTTAAGGATTAAGGGTCTCAACCCTGAAAGGGTTAAAGTTTTATACAGTGCAGCATTTAGTATTCTTATAAAACCTCTCAAACACTGGAGTACACAACAGTTAACTGCATCGACTGTGGTGGACCTATGTTTGTGGGGCCCTGAAGTTTGAACTGTTATGGGGGGGGCCCCTTCACAACCCCTTCTCATACAGTAGACCCAAAATTTTTAAGTAATGAGAACTAAAGTGGCTTCTGGGGCCTCTCTGGGATTAAGGGCCCTGAAGCTTAAGCTTCATTAGTTTCATAGTAGATCTGCCCTTGTACATCAGGTACCCTTATTGATGACTGTTTTATCCACACATGCACTTCATAGCTTGCTGAAGACTATGTTTCTGATCAAGTCATTAATAATGGCCTCCACTGTATTTAAGTGCTGTCAGCTTTTATAAAGTTCCTCTATGTAATGTAAATTTTTGCAAATGCTATTCCATTTTGGATATACTCTTTCAATCACATTTACAAAAAAATTATGATATGTAGGGGAATTTTATGAGAGACCTGACTGCACTTCATCTTCTTAGTATCAACATAATGTTCCAGTTCCTTGAAAACTCTCACAAGTGTTGTGTTTGGGCAGCTGTTACTGAATCTACGTTTCTTAAAGAAACTCAGTTACTGGAGCTGCCAGGTTTTCAACCTTCACAGCTTATAGGGAGCAAAATGTATTTTTATAGTATCACTTTTTGTCACTCATAATTGGCTCTAGAAGAAACGGTAACCGATTGATTATTGTATATTAATTGGGATAAAAATCATAAAGGTTTTTAAAACAAAAGAGGCTACCTCATGAAAAAACGTCATTGAGCTTGAAAATTTCTTCCAAGGTGAAATAAACACCTGCAAATAATGGTGTTGTTCTCATGAATGTGATAAAACATTTGCAGGTTTTCAGATATAAGGTAGGTACAATATTATCTTTCTTGAATTGTCAGAGAGGTTAGTTCTTGTAATCCCATAGTGGGATGCTTTCATCTAAGTCTGTGTATGGCCGCAGGTGCATCGACTTTGCCGCGTACGCAGGGAGGCCGTGGGGTGGTTGAGGGTCCTGCCAGTCGCACCGCCAACCATGGTGCAGCACATACCACCGCCACCAGTACCAACACCACTCAAGCAGCTATGTGTGATACCATGGCCTCACGCCGTGGGGGTGATGGATATGCCACTATGAAGCTTGGTAACAACCGTGACCCACGCCAGCCACCCTCACATCATGCCTCACATGCTTCCTTACATCATAAAAGTGGCACGGGAGTTGGTACTCTCTCTCGTAAAGAAGAAGCTTCAGCTGCAGCCGCTGCTGCTGCATCTGTTTCTGCTGCCAATGAACGAAGTGGTGAAACACCGACATCAGGCAGTCGCGACAACCGTAGTCTACGTGGTAGCCGAAGAGAACTCTCCTCCAAGAGTGTGGACTACTCAGAGATGGACACGGTGCGAGAGACGGATACTCTGCGGCGCCGTGCCCGTAGCAAGAGCACCGACGACGTGACTAAAGGTGACCGTGATGACTCCATCCTCCACCTCGATAGCAATACACTTAAGAAAATGTTGAGACCCATGACATCAGTGGAGTCACCCGCTACGTCCCCAGAGTCATGGCGCCGTCGAACCAGCCGTGGGGATGGGGGGCTAGATGCCTCGATGTGGGGATCCCTAAGTAGGGGGGGCTCCACTGTCTCACATGCTGATGGTTTCAGTTCTGAGCCAGAAGCACCCCGCCCAAACCGCCTCACACCCTCCAGGTCGGCCATGAGCGTGCTGGGCGGGGAAGGAGGCAGCGGGGGCCGCAGGGGCCGTGGGTTCCACCTGGACCTGGGTGAGCGTGAGTCTCCGCCCTCTGATCACCAGCTGTTCGACCTGGCCTGCTACGCCACCACGCCCTCCTCAAGTAGGCCGGCCTGCCGCGCCCACTTCGTACCTAACACCTCGTCACAGTGGTCCTGCATGGTGGGCGTGGTGCCGCCTGGCCCCGTCCCCGGGCCCTGCTGCCCCTGCGCTGGCCACCTCCAACTTGTCTAGCCACACTCACCAGCTGCTCCTTGAGGGCTGCCAGGTTCCAAGTTGACCAGTGCCTCCGCCAGCCAGCAACCACGGAGTCTGCTCCACAACCATGGCCAATCAACTCCCTCCCAACTGTTCAACATTACTCCTCTTGCCCCAGTGCCATGGGTGCACGACTCCGTGGTTCATGGGGAACATGTGGCCCCCGGCCCCCTGCTGGAACCTTAAACTTTCACTCACAGGGGCCATCACTTGGACATTTTTATCCTTCCTCTAGGATGACTTTACTTTGAACATAAATTTTCAATATATTTACTTTCTAGACTGGCCAAACATTTAATTCTAAAACACTAAGACGAGGTGTTAGATTTTTTTCATTCAAATGACGTTTGCATGACTTGCGTAGATTGGATTCAATTGCATGTTTTTGCATGTTACATACATTATGTTTTATTTTTTGATACCTTATTTTGTGCACAGTTTAGATAGTTTCCAGTAGGATTCATCTGTAATTGGTTTTACGTATATATATATATACAGTATATATACATATATGATTTGTTCGTTATTATGTAATTTGATCAGCCTTGACCATTATCTATTTCCATTATCTGTTTCCACAAACACAACCCAAGCTAGCTTTGGTGATAGAAATTTTCACATTCATCGATTTTTCTTTTTCACTGCCGACACTGAGAGGAAGAAATATAAATGTTGCAATATGATATTCCATTAAATTTTTTTTATATATTTTAAAATAATATAATATATAAAATGAAAGAATATGGAATTAATTGGCTCTTAGTTCTGCTGTATGGGTTTCACACTTCCTCATAAATGCATATCATAATAATAATAATAATAATAATAATAAAAATAATGATGATGATGATGATGATGACTGTTATTACTACTGATTTTTCATGCTAAAGGGGAATAAACCATTAGAAATATAGATGAACTAAAGTTCTTACATGACTATGGATTTTAGATTACAAAATTGATAATGAACACAAAGCAGGTTTGATGTGAGAGTGCCTCGCCATTATATGGCACCCAGCATTACCAGTAATAAAATTTTCTCTGGTTGGCACTGCAGTGAACATAGGAACAGTAGAGAATGAATAGGAACAAGAAAATTAAAAAACGAATATGAAATTGAAAATTTTTATTTCAGAAATACAAAGGTTACAACAGTAGATGAGTTTGCAGTTATTTTGGTTACAGTTTCAATACCAATATAATACAGGACAATACAATACAATTTTATTTCTTTTTTGCAGTATTTATTTTTTTATTTATTTTTTATTTGGACATGATACATAGTTGTACAAAGAAATACAGTGGTTGAGTGTACATGCCAAAGCCCCTTGTATGCAGAGCATTATGGGCAGGATTAAAATTAACTTAAGATTAACTAAACAATGATATATTCAGTGGTAAAAATTACAGTAAACAAATTATAACATGAAGTACAAATGAGTATTTCAAATAAAAAGCGTTATAGTAACAAATTTGTAGCATAACAATGTATAATATAATCACAAAATGTAGTTTACATGTAAGGAAATATTGTTAAGTGCACAAGAAAGCCACTAGCATGCAGTGCATTTTGGGCAGACTGATCTTAATGCTTAATTAAAAAATAAAGAATAAAGATTTTATTCCTTTGCAAAGGTTACAGTGTGTAATTACAATTTTGGTTTGCTAAGTACAAAGAAAGCCACTATCATGCCGGGGCATTTTGGGCAGACTAATCCTAGTACGTAATACACTTAAATCTAGACAAGATAAGAGTGGTTAACTTTTTTAATCTTAATACTAATGCAAGGTAGTCAAGGTGGAGGTTTATAAGAATAATGATCTTGAAGTTGCACATAATACGTAATACAAATACAGTGGACCCTCGACTAACAAACACATCGCATAACATTAAATCTGCCCAACGAAGCATTTGAGCGTAAAAATTTTGGCCTGGCTAACGATAAAAAACTCGCCCAACGTGATTTGTCCTGAACCTGTCCGTCCAGCCTGAGCACCTCAGCTGCCCTGCTGTCATTGTTTACAAGCCAGGGTGGCCAGTTCCATGCATACATTCAATACATTTTGTATTATTCCATTGTTTATAGTGCTTGTAACTGCTAAATAAGCCACCATGGGCCCAAAGAAAGCTTCTAGTGCCAACCCTGTGGTAAAAATGGTGAGAAATACTATCAAAATACAGTGGACCCCCGCTTAACGATCACCTCCCAATGCGACCAATTATGTAAGTGCGTTTGTACGTGTATGTTTGGGGGTCTGAAATGGACTAATCTACTTCACAATATTCTTTATGGGAACAAATTCAGTCAGTACTGGCACCTGAACATACTTCTGGAATGAAAAAATATCGTTAACCGGGAGTCCACTGTACTATTATCGTACCACGGTCAGCTGCTGCTGCACCACCATCAGCTGCTGCTGTGCCACTGTCAGCTGCTGCTGCTGCTGTACCATGGTCAGCTGCTGCTGTACCACAGTCAGCTGCTGCTGCTGCTGTACCATGGTCAGCTGCTGCTGCACCACTGTCAGCTGCTGCTGTACCACTGTCAGCTGCTGCTGCTGCTGTACCACAGTCAGCTGCTGCTACTGTACCACAGTCAGCTGCTGCTGCTGCTGTACCACAGTCAGCTGCTGCTGCTGCTGTATCACGGTCAGCTGCTGCTACTGCTGTACCACCATCAATTGTTGCTGCACCACCGTCAGCTGTTGCTGCACCACCGTCAGCTGTTGCTGCACCACCATCAGCTGTTGCTGCACCACCGTCAGCTGTTGTTGCACCACCGTCAGCTGTTGCTGCACCACCGTCAGCTGTACTACTTGAAGATGTGGAGAGACTGTTGTTGGTGTGGCTTAACGAGAAACAATTAACCCCAGAGGGTTAGCCACCCAGGACAACCCAAGAAAGTCAATGAGTCATCGAGGACTGTAACTTGTTTTCATTGGGTTCCTTATTCTTGTCCCCCAGGATGCGACCCACACCAGTCGACTAACACCCAGGTGAACAGGAAAAAATGCCTGGAACTAGTGCTCATATCGGTGAATTTAAGATCAGCAAAGGTTGGTTTGAGAGATTTAAGAATCGTAGTGGCATACACAGTGTGATAAGGCATGGTGAAGCTGAAAAATTCCAACCCCAACAAGTGTTCAGTTGTGACAAAACAGGCCTGTTCTGGAAGAAAATGCTAAACAGGACCTACATTACTCAGGAGGAAAAGGCACTTCCAGGACACAAGCCTATGTAAGACAGGCTAACTTTCTTGTTTTGTTGTAATGCTAGTGGGGATTGCAAAGTGAAAACTTTACTCATGTATCTCTGAAAATCCCAGAGTGTTCAAGAAAAACAGTGTCTTATCACTCATCAATACTCTTCAATAAAAGTAAGTGTCATTTTAACATTTATTTATATAGTTATTGTGCATGTCTCATTGTTTTCTTTGTAGGGAAATGTATATTTCATGAAAAAATTTTTTTTTTAATACTTTTGGCTGTCTGGAACAGATTAATTGGATTTCCATTATTTCTTATGGGGAAAATTAATTTGGCTTATGATAATTTCGTCTAACGATGAGCTCTAAGGAACAGATTAATATCGTAAGCCGAGGGTCCACTGTAATGTGATAAATTATTATATAATACAAATATTATGTGATAAAATAATACATAATGTTAATATAATATGATAAAATTGCATTGGTATTTTCAAAGAGAAATCCACTTATTATTCAAAGCATTGCAGGCAGACCAATGATACAGTTTGCGTACTTCCTAATTCTGGTCCCGGTATATGTGCTACATTGCACTGCAGAGAAGAATATCTCCTAAATTCAAACAGTTGAGGAAAACACACAGGTGTGAAGGAGATGGAAACCATGAAGCTCAAGTTGCTATATTTTGTTATGGGACTCTCAGCTTAATATAAAGTTACAGAAGACAATTTTTTGTTATATACCTTTGATGAGTTTTGAGAATCTTTCTATGCCTGGAGCCCGGCCATGGACCAGGCTCATCTGGACAATATCTGTGCTTTTTTGCAGACAGATGTAACATTAAGCAATCTATTTTTTCACAGTCCTGGATTTTGGGGCTGTGGTGGTGGTTGTACTTTTCTACTGCCCAGTACTTTATATGGCATAGAATGTTAGGTAGAAAATACAAAATTAATTTTTAATTTGAATACAGAACACAAAACCAGTGTGGGTCATTCAGTGCAAAAGGCAATGGAGGATCAATCCTATGCCCTCCAAATGCAAGAGATGTTGCATAACTGTACAGGAGGGCCTTGTTTATACAGCAGGTTAGGTTCCAGGCTACCATAGAGCCCCACTTATACAGTAGGTTAGGTTGCAGGCTACTGTAGGGCCCCACTTATACAGCAGGTTAGGTTCCAGGCTACTGTAGGGCCCTATTTATATAGCAGGTTAGGTTCCAGGCTACCATAGGGCCCCACTTAAACAGCAGGTTAGGTTCCAGGCTACTGTAGGGCCCTGCTTATACATCAGGTTAGGTTCCAGGCTACTGTAGGGCCCTGCTTATAAAGCAAGGTTAGGTTCCAGGTTATTGTAGGACCCCACTTATACAGGTTAGGTTCCAGGGTACCATAGGGGCCCACTTATACAGCAGGTTAGGTTCTGATCTACTGTAGGGCCCTGCCTGTACAGCAGGTTAGGTTCTAGGCTACTATAGGGTCCCATTTATACAGCAGGTTAGGTTCCAGGCTACTGTAGGGGCCCTGCTTATACAGCAGGTTAGGTTCCAGTCTACTCTAGGGTCCTTCCTATACAGCAGGTAAGGTTTCAATCTACTGTAGGCCCCACTTATACAACAGGTTAGGTTCCAAGCTACTGT